AGGATTCAAACCCTCGACCACGCATCCGTGAGCCCTGCGACGTATCCACTCGGCCATGCTGGCACGATCTCGATGACCTTACGCCGCCAATTTGTAGTGATTCTCCCCCAAAAAAGCTCCATAACTTCTTTCTGGGAGGTCCGCAGCAGATATGGAACACGGTTTCGTAATTCCCGTCCGAAGACCTTTCAGCCGGTATACATTTCATTTCAAATGGCCACTTCGACCTACCATCCTTCCCTTGTGAGAAAGTAATGAGATTAGGGCCCTGCTCTAACGACATAAATTTTTGACTCCACTTCGGCGCACACCCCGTCCCCACAGCTTGCATGTCATGCTCTTCTCATACGGTGACTCCATGCCGACCTCTTTCAGCAGCCCAGGTACCGGAATTCACTATTTCCTGTACCTGGGCTGCTTTGAAACGCTTCCTAGATTTTTAACCTTTGAACCGCCCATTTGGGCGCACGGCCCGCCCACAGCGTGTATTTTCCCCTGTTGTCAACGCCTGCTCATTTATGAGCTGGACTCACTTTCTCCGGTCTCTGGAGTGCTCTGGAACGTGATCGCAATTGTGAATTAAGTCCTTCATGTTTGAGGGCATGTTTCGCTCACTGTGTAAGGGTTCAACATATGACATACGCTAACTCTCTCCACACGTTCCTCTTCTCTACAACTTTTTCATAACTTCCGAACTCTCTCGAAACAAAGTTATGAAATTATTCGTGAAAAGCATCGTCATCTCAAGACTTCAGGCTCATCTTGGGTGTTTCTGAATCATTCAGTCAGGAAATCACTTGCTGACCTGAGTTCAGTTTTCTCCATTTCTGGGCTCCTCGGGATCGAATTATCTTTCTGTCCGCGACACCGTCAACTTTTAATGCATTTTCCGCCCGCAGTGGGCTGGACTGAAATATGCATGGGTCACGTGCGCTTTGTACATTTAATCCCATGTCCTCACCATCCCAACCCCTAACTTTCTTGAAAACAGCTATAAAGCGCTTAAATTGATAACTGATGTAGGTGGTCGCGCAGGAACATTATTGGTGGGTGGCAGGAAGTGTGTGTTGATAAGATGCCATAAGGGGCTCTAAATAGAGGGTCATCAACTTCATAACGCGCGCCACAGCAACAACGGGACGTTCGTTACAAAAAGTAAGATAGGGGCAGGATGGGAACATTATTGGTGCGTGGCCGGACATGTAACAGCTGATAAGATAGCCCCGAAAATTCACAGCAGAGTTACAGCGACACTAGGGAACTGATCCAGCAAGTAATTCAGAGGTGCTTAGGGGACATTAAATGTGGGAGATAAAATCTGACAGTGTCCAACAAGGATTTTTGGTAGTCCGTATATGCTCACATCACCGTAGCCAAAGAATCGATGGGCAAAGGCGTAGTGAGTTGAGATGTTTCTATCCCCTAACAAAATTCCTTACTTTAGCGCTCGGAATTACTTACACAGCTAAACGCTCCAGTTTTACCGAAAAGAGGATGTCTGGAGTTGTTGGCCAGTGAGCAATGATAACAGCCACCATGATTTCAATATTTTTATCATCGAAATCCTTCCTCGAATCGCTATGCTGCCCTACTTCCAACGAATGGCGCTTTTAGAAATATCACCCCATATATTTATAATTCGCTTTGTCTGTTTGTTTGTTTGCTTGTAAGGTTTGTAAGTTTGTCTGTCCGGAGCATGGGACAAGAAATAAAGAGCACACTTGACCTATGGCAAGCCCCGCCCACATGCGCGGGGCACTCGCCGAAAGTTTGGGTTCCGCAGAAAAATGTTCATAATTCGCTTCCGGAGCAGCATAAAGATGGGGAAAAAAGGGACTAAGGTTACTAAGGAGTCGCCAGACTAACTGTGGCAGCTACACCCTAAATGGGCGGGGCGCACTCAAGGTGGGCGGTGCGAGTGTTTGGAAGTCGCAAAAAACTCAGTCTAGAATGTAAATATCCGGCGAATATAGGGCACGCTCAAAGTGTGTTGAGACACGCCCAGAGTGGGCGGAGCCTGCCCTAAATCGCAGCGTATTCATTTTGAAAGTTTGCAGCTCGGTTTCAGAACACTCCGGATACCGAAAAAAAGTGGATTAAGTTCAGCAGAGGGTCGCCGGTGAGGATTGTGGGGCAAAAACTTTGTGGCGAAGCCTGCTCCGAGGTGGGCGCAGCCTGCTCCGAGGTGGGCGGAGCCAGACAAAAGGGTCCGTAAAACGGTTCCGGAGCACTCTGAAGACTGGAATAAAGTGAATTCAGGTCAGGAAGGGGTCGCCGACTGGGAAAAGTGGGGTAGACATATTGTGGGCGGAGCCAGCCCACGGTGCGAGCGAACAAAAATTCTCTAAAACGGTTCCAGAACACACCGCACACCGGAATAAAGTGAGTTCAGGTCAGGAATGAGTCGCCGGTGAGGATTTTGGGGCAAAAACTTTGTGGGCGAAGCCTGCTCCGAGGTGGGCGCAGCCTGCTCCGAAGTGGGCGGAGCCAGACAAAAGGGTCCGTAAAATGGTTCCGGAGCATTCTGAAGACTGGAATAAAGTGAATTCAGGTCAGGAAGGGGTCGCCGACTGGGAGAAGTGGGGTAGACATGTTGGGGGCGGGGCCAGCCCGAGGTGGGCGGAGCCGGACAAAAAGGTCCGTAAAACTGTTCCAGAGCACTCCGAAGACCGGAATAAAGTGAAATCAGGTCAGTGAATGAGTCGCGGTAGATTGTGGGGCATAAAACATTGTGGCGGAGCCGCTCCGAGTGGGCGAAGCCAACAAAAAAGGTCCGTAAAACGGTCCAGGGCACCTCCGAAGAATCGCAATAAAGTGAATTCAGGTCAGGAAGGGTTCCGACTGGGAAAAGTGGGTAGACATATTGTGGCGGAGCCAGCCCACGGTGCGCGGAGCGAACAAAAATTCTCTAAAACGGTTCCAGAACACACCGCACACCCGGAAAAAAGTGGATTAAGTCAGCAGAGGTCGCCGAGTGAGGATTTGTGGGGCAAAAGACATTGTGGGGCGGCCCAGCCCGAGGTGGGCGGATAGCCCGGAGGTGGGCGGAGCCAGAACAAAAAGGTCTCCAAAACGGTCTAGAGCACTCCGAAGACCGGAAAAAAGTGGATTAAGGTCAGAGATGGTCGCCGGTGAGGATTGGTGGCACAAAACATTGCGGCGGGGCCTGCCCCGAGGTGGGGAGTCAGACGAAGATCTGTAAAGTAGCTCAAGAGTACTTCAAAACACCGAAAAAAAGTGAGTACAGAAAAAAGGCGATATCATTTGAGTCTAGAATAGTGAAAGATACCGCGCAGCCAAGCCGCGCTCGCGCCGGCCAGCCGTCGTATCAGAAGGAGGCTCGCCGGCGTTACGCGGGAGCCGACTGGTGATAAATATCAAACATTGGCAAATGTTCATTAAAAGGGAGAAACATGATGAAATGGGCCGTTTCCGAAGCATGGCATTAGGCCAAGTGTGTTCTCAGCGCAAAATCCTGTCAGTTATTACAGCATCAGCCGCTAGCGGCTGACTCCGACGCGCCTCCGCCGCGCTTACCTTCTTCCACACACTTCATTAGCTGCCTAGTACAGGCTCTTCTTTAACCCGAACAGCGTGGTCAACATTCTTTGACATAATGCATCAATACCTGCTCCTTTCAAAACTATTACGGTGTATGGAGTGGTGGTAAGGAGCGTTGATCAAGTGGACAGATGAAGAAAAGCCGGGTATTAGTGGAGCATTTGATCGCACGAATGTAGGTAGGCGCGATGAAGCCGGCGCCCGCAAAGCCCGCGCCGTATAAATGGAAGTCCGAATGGCTGGAGCGTGCGTCAAGGTGAGGCTAGCCCCGCTCACCTTGACGCACGCTCACACACAACAGTTATGCTTACACTTGTGAACCGGTTACCCGATGACCTTAAACCACTTTAACTGGGTGTCTGGAGTGCTCTGGAACCGTTTGGCAAATTTTCTTGATTTGGCTCCAACCCACCCTCGGTGCAGGCTCGCCACAGCGGGAGTGCCTCGGCACATCCTACATTTGATCATTTGGGCACCATAACCCACAATTCGGCACTTCTGCAGCTGCTTAAGACCAAACTAAGACTTTTTATACCGTTTCTCGTGCCAAATGCACGCCCCGCCCATGTAGGCGGGCCCAGCACGCCCGTAACATGGTGGACTCTTGCAGACGTTAATCTTCGTCATGGACTTTTCTGTGATTCCCTAAACATTTCCGGGGACCTGAGTTACCGACCTTTGTGAGAGAAGCGCGCCCCATCTCAATTACGCCCGCCTTTCGGGCTCTCCTCCTCCATTTGGCGTACCAACCCAGCGCACCCACTTTTTCTAGTCTCCGAACTACTCTGTAAGCAAGTTCTGGAGATTTTTCAGTGACACGGAAGCGCCGCCCAGCTCAAGTACGCCGCGCCCATTTCAAGGTGCATCCCCTATGTTTGGTCGATCAAGCCTTTGTTAACTATATCACTTGTTTTCTCATCTCGGGAGTGTCTTGGGAGCGAGTTATGACTTTCTTCAGTGACACTCGCTAAATTTGACGCACGCCCCGCCCACTGTGTGCGGGCTTACCATGAGTCATGAGTGCTATTTAGATTTTGTCCTGTGCTCTATCCATCCCCACCCTGACCCGACCCGCCAAGCTCTTCTTCAGGTGCTATGAAGTTTTTGACAAACAGACAGACGCACACACACACACACCACACACACACACACGGACATAGTCGATTATATTAGTAGGATAGGTTCAACCATGCGCGCAGTAACGAGCGTCAGCCATACTGGTTTATAATAGGGAAGGGTTTTTAGCGAACGAAAGCAGCACCTGTTTCTGTCGTCACCTAACCAAATCCCCCTTCGCTTTCGACTAGTAGCGTGTTTTGAAAGTAGTGCGAAAGTCCTCATGACAAGATCCGAAGGCGAACCATTGCCGCTACCAGCTCTCCATTGATCAATTTGGGAAGCTATGACCTAAAGTAGCTCATGTTATGCAGAACATCGACAGGGCAAAGTAGTACGGCACTCACGCTAGCTCCTCTAGACTCAACAATTCGAGAAATCAGTTCTACGTCGGATTCGATAAAGGTCTGCTCTTCGTCAAATGGTCCAACAATGATTCCATTAGCAATCAAGGCTCTTTCACCAGGTGATAGCCCCACAACATCTCGAACAAAGCTGCATATATTTCAGTGCAATTGTACTTAACATCGTATTAACTCCGATGAATTGCTCAATACCCACACGCTGTCAATCTTGAGCTGCTCACAAAGTAAAAGGTGTTTCTGTTCGTCAAACTTGCCCCCATTCATCATTCCAACAGCGAGGTCCTCCGATTTCATAGTTCCGCTGTGTATGGCACTTGAATACTCCTCCTGCAAAGAAAGCAAAGACGTGTACTCTAAAAGCGAGGGACGCAACAAATGTAAATACACACCTTCACAAGTTTCGCGATGAGTTGCTCTGCTTGAATATGAGGAAGCAATTTGACTGCAGCTTGAATAAGCCAAGAGATACTGTTCGTCTGACAAGAAGCTGTGGTGTTCGATGGATTCATAATTAAACCCAGCTGAAGAGACAATTATAAAGATGTAACGTGGAAAGTGTTAACCACGTTTGAGGTTCAGTAACAACTGCAGGGACTCACATTCAGATATCCAAGAAACTTTTCGTGTCCACGAGATGCAACAAAACCCAACTTGCAAAGGTAAGGCCTCAATGAACCATGACGACAAAGAAAGGGAGTGGGCAGAGCGCAGGGGTTTGCTGTACTCTGACCGTGCTGGGGAACTCTATTGAAAATCCCGCTGATGAAGCAATCGGCTCCATGGGCTTGATTAGAAGATACAACCACCCAATTAGCTCTTCGGGCACGCCGTGCTGCCGTATAACGCACCATATAAGTTTATGCGGCACACGATCGAAAGCCTTCTCTAGGTCTAATGTAAAAAGGCTACATACATGGGCTTTCGCTCCTCACATGTTTCTCCAGAAGAACGCGAGCGGTGTATGGCGTCGACAGGGTACAGCATCGTGATGTTTGAAATGGTGTCAGTGCGACTCCCTCCCCCGGGAAAAGCACCCTGGTACGACCCCCCCCCCGCTTTTCCGGCTCTACTTGTTCGCTCTGACGAGAAGTATTAGATACGTAAAGACTCGCAGGCGCTTGCGGCTGCGTTATGGCTCCATGGCAAATTAGCTGTGGAGCAAATCTGTTGGTCGGCGGGAAATCGCGGGACCTTTTCTGGGGATAATAGCTCTTTTGGATGTGAGGCTCTTAACAAACGGAAGGCTGCATGATGATGCAATGTCGCTTCTGCTGCGTTCTCTGGCTCTTGAAAAACGGAAGGCGGCATGATGATGCAATGTCGCTTCTGTTGCGTTCTCTACCTACTCGCAATCTGAACCTTCTCCCGTTTGTGATACACTTCGGATGGATTACGGACACGTAAGCGGCAAACCGTGAGCGGGTTTTTATGCGTCGGACGAGACTAACTTCATTCAAACGCAATCTTTTGCAAAGCTGAAAACACTCACAGAGCGCTCTATAGTTCCTCTTCCCGAGAAGCTCTACGGTTTTTCCACGGACCCGCTAGTTTAGAAGATATTCTAGATGGGTCCCCTCGAGCGACAGTGAGCCACTCCAAAGGTCGACTCCTTCTGTACTATTGTAAGGATACTCATTGGCGAATTTCAATATGCCTTCAAAACCCATATTCCAGTTGAACTGAGATAAAGCATGATTTGGTTATCATCGATCCATTCAGCCCGAGCGTGCGCCTTCTACGCAGAGGTGGTGGAAAGGTGTAACCTGATTTTATGATTTTCTCATTTCAAGCAGATATTTGTTAAGGATTCAAAAGGGTCGGCGCACAAGCGTCTGTTTGAGATGTATCATTTAGTCATCTACGGACTTACGAGTTTATGCTAACTATTAATATTGCTAATTAATTATTTCAATATTTTGTAGTCTTCCACACATTCGGGTCCTCTGCAGCTTTTCGTTCGCTCCATCAAACTTAAGAATGGCATTCTTATACTGTCTGGTACTCACCGACCCTGCGTTTACACCTTCCCCGCTCCCCAGTGGCCGAGTACCACCCCACTATGAGTTTACAACGATGTTGTACCCCGATGGCACTACCGCCCGAGACGAAGCCACATTGGTTGGTCCGGAGTAGAACTATGTCAGGAACACGGCTACCAGCACTCGCTGAAAGATTTTCATGGTGTACAAGAGAAGGCGAATTGAACGGTAGTTCGAGCAATCTGTTGGGCTGCCTTTGTTTTTCCAAACCGGAAGGTCACACTCTGCAAACAGTCCTTGGGTCTTTAACCATCTTGTTCAACAGATTTGTCAACCACTCTGCAAAAAAGCAGCGTTCTGCATTTCACGAATCAGCTGCCAAGTCGTCGGGGCCTGCTGCCTTGCCGGCCAACATCTTATTCAAAGCCGCTTCTGTTTCCTACGCGGAGATCTTCTGAACGGTTGTCGGTGCGGCACAAAGTATAGACGGATGGGCAAGTTTCACTTATATCATCGAAGTGAGCGGCCTTCACAGCAGCTGCTGCCTTTTTGCTGCTCCTCGCTTCTCGGTACTGCCGGAAGTTGTCGGCCGACCTATGCTTGAGAAACTGGCATAGCCACTTCTTCTCTGGAACCTTTTCTTGTTTGACCGTTCACAGCCAGGGATTTAGGTCAATTTTTCACCATCGGGCTCCGTTGTGCCGAGTTCGGAGCCGACGGCCTCGCTCATCGATTGAACGGCCTCTTTCCAGGTCCCGTCCACAGCTGTGACCAGAAGCAGTCGAATAGGAGGAATCATAGCTGTCTCCCGCTCCTTCAGTCGCCACCACTGGATCCTTTCAGAATCGCGTCGGTCGTCTGCTTCAATCTGGCACCCGCAAATTTCAACCACATCAGCGGGCAGTGCTGCGAAGCAACTGCTTCTTACGACAATGCCTTAACCTGTAGCGAAGCTATCTGTGCCCTCCTCCCCCTCTCGCTGGAGAAGTTAACGAGATAGGAGTCACGTTTGCAAGAATTTGTGTCCAAGATGACGAGATTAACGGCGCGCGATTGCATACCTAAAGATACGATCACCATCGCCGCTCCGGGATTCATAACCGGATCAACCATGACAAGCGTAGCCATCTTTCGCAGCGCTTATGTGCCCATTCAGGTGACCAGCGGCAATTATGCCGTCTTTAGTACCTCAGCCGTGTTTTCATCCAGCAGATACCGAACTCGACCTTGGATTGCCCGGTGCATCCAGTTTGCGGGGCATATGCAGAGGAGAAATGATATATTCGTTGCTCGAAAGTGACAACAATCTTCATTGAACGGTCGTCAAAAGAAACAATGCTCGCAATCGAGTCACGGAAACGCTGTGGCACAATAACAGGCACACCACGTGCAATTTCCAGCCCACAATCACAAAGAACGACCTTGGGTCCACGGCCAATTTCTATCGACTTGCAATTGGCCCATTTCGCCTCTTGCACTGCACTGACATCGATCCTTCTACGCTCAAATGCTTTTGCCAACTCATATGATCCTCCAGTCAGCCTCCCACCGTTCAGCATTGCAACGGGGGCCAGCCGAACGCTGCATGATTTTCGGACAAGCCTGGTTGCCTGCAATGCCATCCTCGTATCGGGAACCCGCATACTTTTGAAGTCTGCGGGCCTGGCGATTGTGCGCCGGCACTAAGCAACATTGTTAAACATGGTGATGTGACATGGGGATTTGCAGGCTGCTACGTCCTGTGAGTGTTCGTTTTCAACTTGGCTCGCAAAAGCGAGCACTTCCCAGTGACACCACGTGGAGGAGCGGACAACACCACCCCCTTTTGAGTTGTTTACACGATTTCTAGATGCTCAGAGAAGGGTCTGACTGCTGGCATAATTCCTGTGCCCATTACAATACGACATTTCGTATCGTTGCAACAAACCATTAACAATTACTGAACCACCTGCCGACTGGTCGACAGTCCCGGCCATCGATTCGCCCTCTGCTGTCGATTTTCAACCTCATTGAAACGAGGCGGTTGTGTAAGATGGTTTCCACGTGTGGTACCTTAGAGTCCTATGTTGGCCCCTGTCATCAAAGACTGATCCTCAGCAACTGTTCCTCTGAAAGGCTCACAATACCAGTATGGCCTGGGCATAAATCTGCATGTGTATGGTGGGCGATCACCTAGGGAGTGCTTGCATGTCTGACAAAAACGAACAATCCATATCCTGTCTCCTTTCACCACCAGTCAGAATAAACGGTGTCCAACCCTTCAGTAGAGGGCACACGCAACGTTTCTGCCCGCCACAGGTGGTGACTCGTCTATTGTTTCATGAGGAAAGTTTCGCAGCGATCGCTTCACTTCCACAAATTTTCTTAATACGGCTCATTTCTCATCATCGGATTTCTTAGTAAACGGATCGTCCTCTTCGTGTGTGATAAATTCTTCAAGCCGAGCAAGACATCGACGGCCTTATCCTGGTCTCACACTCCCTCTGACATCTTTCCGATGTGCCTTCCACCCAAAATTTCCTCTTGCGCATCGTCTTGTTCAAGATTCGGAACTTGTTGATGATCTTGCTCGAGACTTGTCTTCCTGGCCTCCAGCCCCTCGACCTGCTGTGTCATATGGTTCACTGCTCCTGCTGCCTTTGATATGCTCCATTCTTCTGCATGGCTTTGCGTGGTCAGTGGGGTTTGAACCGGAAATTTGTCGTTCCACCCGTACACGTTCCTTCCCAATCATTTTCAAAAGTACGCAGAGGTTGTCCTGCTGCTGCACTGCTCTTTGAAATAACGGGGGACCGAAAAAGACACATTGTCTGAGGCACATATCAGTAAAGAATACGCAGCCAAGAGAGAAGACGTGGATACGAGTACCAGGGCGAAACATGCCCAAGATGTTTCTCGATAACCAGAAGTAGGCTCTCATCGATCACCTTCATGTACACCAAAATATGAAGCCATCTCCAATCGCAGCCGTACTGGAGGACTGGCAGGCCTATGGAGTTTACGTCACTTTAAACAGCTGCGAAACTTCTTGTACGGAGTCATCCATGGACAGCTACCTGGGGACCAGCAATATTGATCTGGAAGACCTCCAACAGAGAACAGCTCCGACAACGTCGCTATGGTGCAGGATATCCTCTTCCTTGCAGTCGCCAACGCGCGGGTTGATGGTGTGGGCCGGAGTTCCTAGAATGGGATGAATAAGGTTGGCTTCGTGGACTCCGGACTAAAAGTGAACGCTGACTGTTACATCAAACAGCTCGAGGAGAATATCCTGCCTCCATGTCGTCACCTGTACTATCGGAACTTCCTACTGCTGCAGGACTGAGTGCCAGCATATGGAACCGAAAAACGCTCGCCTACTTGAAAGTGAAGGGCGTTGTGTACCTGAGAAAGACGGAATATCCAAGTGTGTCACCTGACTCAAACCCCTCTATTCACCGGGTTTGGCGGAGCTCAACAGGGTGATCTACAGTGGCGCAGAAATCAACGACTTCGCTGAACTCAGGCAGCCAATCACGGTCGCGCGACAGAATCTCTCGATGGCGCTCGCCTAGAAGGCTGTGACGGAGTTTCGTGATAGTGTACGATGTGTCGTTGAATTTGATGGCTCAAACCATTCGACTCACCAGGAAAGGTCAACAGGTCAGCCTGGCCGTTTCCAATGAACTGCACATCGTTGTACGCGTCTTGGGACAGTGAACTCAAATCTACGTTTAGAATTTGCGGAACGATTTTCTGAACGGAGTTATGGAGGGTCTTATCCCCGCGTGGTCGTTTCACATGCTATCGCTAGGAAACGTGGAAGCGTCTTACATTTATGTATGGAGTCACGCTGAGAAGTGGCAGTAGAGCGCAACGGGTAGGGAGCGGGTTTTTCGGGTGAAACGTCGTAGGATCGGTTCCGCGAGAGTGCATTTTTTTGCATTTGTCCTAGAACATAGCTGAGAAGGCTTCTAACATCTCTGCTCGCCTGCATTACCCTATAAGGGAACCTGCGATCAATTTTTTTTGAAAGTGTATATCCATTGTGGCTTGGAAGTGCCTCTGCTTGTACCCCCCGTAACACGTGTCACAAGGGTTTTTGCAATGAAATACCATCACATTCATGTTCAGCGGGTTAAATTACCTCTGGGAACAAATTTCGTCACTTGGCAAATCTGGGCTGTTCCATGGGCAATTAGCAGCAGATTGGAGCTCACCTACCATCGATGACTGGTCTCGGGATGGGATTTCCTCCCGAGAGTCAAGAAAATGATGCAGCCGGCATAAATAAGTAAGCTAGGTACTGTTGTTTGCAAAAAGACATGACTGAAGAGTTACTTCACTTCGAACACCAGTCATCACCAGTGTGCTGGTCATAGTATCGCTGTTGGCTATCAGCCAGCCATGACTATCCATGCCTCATTTTTTTCGAAGTTGAGCCAGAACCTCAAACTTCGTTAAGGTGACGTCTCTAGGGGTTATTTGACCCCCTGAACACGAATATGACACCTGCTTTGCGCGAAGGGCGCTGTGAGTCGCGCTACCGGTGCCAACGCTTCGGTGCCAGCGCGCCCGTAAGAAGAAAAAGAGAAAAGAAAAACTTCAATAACTCCGCTCAGAAAAATCGTTCCGCAGATTTTGAAGATAGTTTTGAGTTCACCGTCTCAAGACGGGTACAACGATGTGCATCTCATTGCAAATGGCCAGACTGACCCGTTGACCTTTCCTGGTCAGAGCAATCAGTTTTTCTTGCGCTGGACTGAAAGCTAGAGTGATGTTTCTTTTGACATGTGCCTAATCAGACTAGAATCAGACTGCAGCTATCTCAGCTTGCCGGTGGACCCCTTCAAAAGGTAGCGTGAGGTTCTTATCGACACAGCTTGACATAGGTCTTCTTTCTTGCATGTATTAGGGGTGTCACAAAGTTCGTTGGCCATTTTGTAAACAGCCGTCGCGTTACGCAACGCGTTGTGATTTTGCATAATGGTTTCGCAATACTGAAAGTACTCGCGATGGGCTATCTTCTGAGCTATGCTAGCTCTAAATTTCCTTTCCTGATCTTCCCACAATAAAGCAGTGAAGATGAGTGATAGTTGCTGGGACTACTACAATCTGGACATCTCCAGGACGTCAGGCCACTACCCAGGATGGCGTCACAGTTTGGTGATAACACCCCTTCTAAGAACTGGATGTCAAAATGGGGGACTCGCTTCACCAATGGAAACTATGGCATCGAAGATTATGCCGAGGTTTCTGGTTCTCTCGTCAGGCGTCGTCTACTATAGCACCCTACCCAACAATGCCACAGTGACGGCAGAGACCCTCTCTAAAGAATTACAGGAGGTCAAGGTGAAAGCTGCCGCCTTGTCCAGAAACTTGCAAATCCGTGGTTGCTCTGGACAACGCGGCGCCCCCACAAAGCGAGAAGCGGAGATACTCAGGCCGTTATGGACAGGCTAGGCAATCAAGACGTTCACGCATCCACCATATAGCCCGGACATCAGTCTATGCGATTACCACATCTTCCGGTCCATGCGAAACTTCCTGGACGGAAAACAGCTGAAGAACGAGCGCGACCTCGAGGACGTGATCGAGGACTTGGGCGAGTCGCGGCTGGCCGGCTTCTGAGAGGATCTAGTTGCCTCTCTACCCGATCGTTGGCGAAAGGTGGTGGGTATGCATGGGGATTATATCATGGACCGGTAAGTTCAACTTGGTGAGTTATCTTCATAAGCTCTGCAAAAAACGAATGGCCAACGAACTTTGTGGACAGCCTAATAGTGCACCAGCACGTAGTGCGCTGAGCGGGACCTTCGTCCATTTTACCTATGGCATTGCTGAAGTGAGCAAGAATTGAAGATAGAAGTGAATAATGAATAGTTGTGCAATATTCCTGCTTGTCAGCAGTGCCCCGCTTCTCTCTTCGTGAAACTACGGCACTATTGCTATGTTTGATGACGGCTTTTGTGCGAGCGAGGTTTTTAGGAGGAACACTATTGTAACTCGATGATAATCGCGTCTGGTGGAAAATCGGTGCGAGACAAAATGACGTTCTCGCATGCGTGAGCTACGAGCCACCAGTGGCTGTATTGCCACCCGTGGACTAATTTTCTGCCGCTCTGTCAAACTTCGCAAAATGATTTTGCATTCTTGAGGAAGGAGGGGGGGGTGCTGTTCCTACCATCCTTGACCGCATTAGACACCATCTCAAGAATCGTCTCAACACCCCCCCCCAAGCACGCCCACTTTTCAATGTGGTCGTGATTCTTCAAATTTCATGCTATAACGTCCGCTTTTGCGGATTTTCTGCAGTTTTGCTTTTTACACACTCTGCGCACTATTCAACAGCTTTGTTGTGATAGGCTCTTGTTGAATGGTTATTACCCGATAATCTACAGAAGAAGAAATGTTGGTACCTTGGGGTTATCTTGTGCATGTTCTTTGCTATCGGCGCTATTCAGTGCTCTGCTAAGATTGAGCCCACCAGGGAGTGATTTCTTTCCCCACGCCAAACCTTAGCATAGTGTGGACAACCGCGGTGCCTTGCGTATGCTGGGAATTGTGCTTTGGATGGGCTCGTTTTCCAAGAGGAAATTCAGGACTGGAGTAAGGGAGTTTGAAGGGACTTGGTGTACTGTGCGGGTTCGTCCCATAAACAATATGCGGTCCTGAAGATCATGTGGAATAATGTTCGTACAAGTCGCAGTGTAAGTGAAAGTGAGTGCATGTCCGGACTCAAATGCATAGGCAAAGCCTTTCCTTTTGGACAAATTTGGAACTTTAAAACTCGATGTGGCACATGCAACTTCCACTTGTGTTGGTTTGATGGACGTGCAGATTACCAATGCTACTGCTCACTGTGCATATCTGTAGTATCCATCAAGAACTGCGTTGTCCATATACATGTGGCGTATTACGCAAAGATTCTCGTTTTGAGGTCATCCTACATGCTGAGATATTTCGGCAGTAGCAAAACTCGGAATACTTCTTTGAACCTGGCCATCTTGAATTTGTCGGTTTGACCGCAAATATGCCGTGAGAAACCTCCTTGTTCCATCTGCATCATCAAAATGCGTGATTCCCACAACTGCAGCTTCTTTCCATCAACTGAAGTGGACTCTCGTAAACCTGCGAAGATTTGGGATTCAAACAAGAGCGATAAAAAAACCAGAGCTCCAATACCAGCAACACATCCTGGAATTCCTCAAGATTCCAACTGAGCTGTTATACGAGGACTATTCTTAAATATTCGTATCTCAATTCTAGAACGAAGCTTGTGAGATGACCATCCACACATTTTCTGTTACGTACAAAACTGAGAAGACACCGCTTTCAGACTTCTGTATCATAACTGGTGCCACAAGTGGATAAATCAGTATTGGGTACGCAGAGAAGCAGTGACTTCCATTGAATACCCAGTTCGCGTACTAGTGTAGAATTGCCAAGCCACTTGAAGCAAGTTTGTTGTTCGAACGAGTTAGTTCAGTACTTCGGTAAGTTGTGTCTTACATAGTTCTCCATCGTACGAGCGAGGACAGATCGTCGACACGGGAGACAGTATCTCAACTTGTCAACACCCTCTTGATTGAAGCATGACCACTTCTATGCATAGATTGCCAACAACTGAATCAACTCTATCGGACGACCACCATATCTGTGTTCTCGTCTTGGCTCCTGAAAAACACACTTCACCAAAATTCCGATTCTCCAAGTGACCGCGCTTGCGAAAACCCGCAATGGCAAATTGTTCCTTGTTCCTCTCTTGAATATAGTGAACTTTGCCGCTTTCTTCTTTTTATTGTACCCAAGTGCCTCCAACTGGCCAGCATTCCCGGTCAAAAGTGACGACTGAATAGACAATAAAGTGATCTGCTTCGTCAAATGAAAAGAACCCGTTGTCGATGATCTCCAATTTTACACGGTAGCTATGAAGAGCGATGTGTGTGATGGAAAAGCGCAGCCGCAGTCGTTCCACTGCAGGTTTTCAGAACGCGTCGTGTGTGGGATGGCAAGACCAGCTCAGCCCCTCCTCTGATAAGCAAGTGATCCGTCTGGTACTCTGTGGAGGATCTGCGAGCATATGGGACAACGAGCCCCCTATCATCAGAATACTGACAAGTAGAGGGAACCGTGGTCGGACTCATAGCCAGGATTTTTCTATAGTTTTGCAGCCTACTTGTCATTTGGGTCAAAGGTTGCAGCATGTAGTCAGCTCTGCCGCAGCAGGCATGTAGTCAGCTCTGTCGCAGCAGAACTTTAAATCGCTGAAGTAGGTTGTGGAATTGGTTCATACTGGCTTCCTTGTACAGCTTTCGTAGCTTATTGTTCAGTTGTAATGAGAGCTCGTGCGTCCGCTAGGTTGTAGGCGTGCTCGCGTACTTCCTAATCGAATGCGTCTAAAGGAAGGGCATTTTGGACTAGTTCTGAAGAAAGTCGATGGGCCTCAATACCTGCAAACCGGTGAGCCTGGTTCCGCGTATATAAGCGATCTGGTACCGATGGTTATCTCGATGTCGGGTGGACAAAAGTCTGTAGCAAAACTCAGCGTCACTCAGTGACTTATAAGGCAGACGCTTAACTGGTTTGATCAGTCTCTCATAAGCGCCTCTCGCCGTGCAGCAAGCGTAGTCATACGCTTCCACAGAATTTCCCAATTTGCTATCTCTCTTCTGATGTGATGTCATTTCAGACAGACCGTCGGCATCCTTGAAGAATAGCTTACCCAAGCGTGAATAACGGAGTATTATAGCTAGTAATAGAAATGAGAAGCACAAGTCGCGTGAGGAAACGCCAAAGTACTACAAGGAACGCTAATTAAGAAGATCCAGGACAACGTTGAGGTGTATTAGTCTCATGACCGCGCAGGTTATTATGCATCCGTAGCATTTTCTTTCTGGATCATCGTATCGAAGAAGGGAAAGTAATTTAAAGTAATCTAATCCAGCATGTGTAGAAGGTCGAGATTGACGATTTCTTTTGGTAAACTGCGCTGACAAGCTACGAAGCGTCTGATAATACACGTTTTTTTCATTCGTAGCTTCGGAATACAATACGACTGTCGCACCAGCGACATACGTATTACCTCTTCCTGGATGTCCTTCTCTACGGCAGTTTCTGATAATGGCGCCAAGTAACAACGAAATTCGAAGCACTGTTGCAGGATTTTTGGCTCCAGCCTCCAAATCGGTACTCCTGGAACTCCAAAACGGGTGTTCGCAATAAGTCGGCAAAATAATCATGAGAGACCACTTCGCACCCCCCCCCCCACACTTGCCTCTAGGACGGGAAAGGCTGCCTTGCTCATTAGTTTCGCCGACTACCGACCTCCTGTCGTTAGACTCATCCAAAACAGAATGATAAAGAATCGCATCAGAATTTTGCTGCATGTTTGCTATCTCGGTCAATATGACAAAAAGCCTTCTTAACCTTGTTGACCTCGCGGTTACATAAAACTATGAAATGACGAACTTCTATATGACATGAGTTTCCTTACTTTGAGTTAGTCCATGACTATATTAAACAAATCCATACATATATTTAAGTGCAATACTGTCAGCACACTATCAGTCTTTACTTTTCCAACTGATCAGGGCAGGGATGAAAGCTCGCATCTCTCTTCAAAAGACACGTACCAAGCGTATTTCATCCAACTTGTAGAACTCTGAATGACCTTCGGAACCCTTTGTCAGTAGTAGGGTAGTAGTGTGTTAACTTCACTGGTCCTCTAAATTCCGTGTTGAAGATTTCATCCAACAAAATGAGACGGAATTTGTGGACTTTGAGATGGCTTATTCTTGCGATGACTTCTTCCGACTGGAATCGTGAACTGTGGTAGTTCGTACACCTGAGAGACCTTCTTGATGTTTAAAAAAGGCATCTGCGCTTCTTGGACTTCCGAAAGGATTTCGATTGACTACCTGTCCCAAAAATGATGATGGCATACCGTGTGTACAGGGAAGCCTCTACATAGGGTCACTGCACCTATATCCCAGAAACAGGGAAGGCGCTGCTGCGTACTTTAATTGAAACTGTCGGCAGCTGCGTCTGTGATGGGATACTGCTATTTTGGAGCAATTGCATTCCTATTTGAGGGCTAGAACTCAAGAGCAGCTGTGCTGCTTCTGCAGTATCCCTCGGAGACCGCGCAGTCCCACAGAGCATGAAAATAAAAACGGACAACATGACAATAGCTGAGCTTTGGAATACAAGTAAAACGCAATTCCTCAATGCGGATAACATTTTAGGTGCTGCAAAATAAGAACCGAAGATGATGACGATGGCTAGGACTTAAGAGCAACTGTGGTGCTCTTGCAATATCCCTCAGAGGCCGCGCATTCCCACAGAACATGACAATAAAAACGGACAACATGACAATAAAACATGACAGCACAAGCAAAACGCAATTTCCTAACATTTGAGGCATTGCTCATGCTTCAAAGTCCGAATAGAAGGTGATGAAGATGTCAAAGGCTAGAAATGAAGAACAACGAATGTAGATGTATATAAAACAAAAACAAACCAAGGAGACGCAATAAATTGAAATCGCGTGTGCATTTCTGCGATTCGGTTCGAATCCGGCTCTAATGCTATAGAAATACTTCAAACTAACGAGTGGGACGCTTAGGCAGTTTTTATTGTAATGTTTTGTGGGAATGCGCTTTCTGCGAGGGCTGTTGCAGAAGCAGCACAGTTGCTCTTGAGTTCTAGCCCTCGTCATCATCTTCAGTTCTTATTTAATGTTATTCGCAAAAAGGAATTGCGTTGTACTTGTATTCTAAAGCGCAATTACAGGACTTGGCAAAAAGCCAGGAGAGCTGTACGCGACCGCGCCGCGCGGACGCGCGTAGCAAGGAATTACGATTCCCACGGTCCCTTAGTCTGACTCCGTGCAGTTTTGGGCGGGGGGACCACGACACATCGACAGCTGGGGGGGGGGGCTGATAATCTCATAAACCTCAATGTGTTTGAGCGTACCATGAGTCCTCAAGTGGAAACATACTCCCTGGTGTAGTTCAACCTCCTGAACACAACAACGGCATTCATCGGGCACGAAAACACCCCATGCGTGCGTTACGCACTCTCATACATATGTAAATATATATATATCATACTGATATATATATATATATATATATATATATATATATTTATATATATATATATATAGTATATATATATATATATATATATATATATATATATATAATATATATATATATATATATTTATTTTATTTATTTATTATTTATTTTATTTATTTATTATATGCACTTCTAGGTGCGCTAATTCCTTGATACCACAATCAGGTCGGGACTAAAAGAAAGCGAAAAGAAAGAAAAAGCATACAAAAAGAACACCACAAAAACGTAACACAACTCAAGAGAACACAACACAAATGAGCTCAAATGGCACAACACAGAATGGACACAAAGTGACAGCGTAGTAGTAGAATAAATGAACCATGGAGGAAACTACAGATGGGCTCAGCGCATTAACGCAAACATGAACCTGGCATCCGATAACAAACACGAATCCTGGAGACAGGGCCCTAATCCCCTTTATCACCATCATCGTTTACTGGTAATCACAATGTTACAATAGAAGGAAGGCAACTCAGGATAATACCATTGACTGACTTCGATTCTGCTCTGAGGTGAAACTGATTGGAATACACTGGATGCCATACTTAAGTAATTATCAAATATTTCATTTATTATTTAACCAGCCGGCTTTGCCGGCTGATGCCGGCGCGCGTCCTTCCAAGATATAAGCGGCTTCGCCGGGCGGGGTCAGAACCGCCGCGCTTGCCTTTTTCCACATATTTCAATACCCAGCTAGTATCCGGCTTTTCTTTTATGTGAGCAGATGTTCAACTTCCCTGAACAATAGCATCATACCTGCATTTTCAACGCTAGCACGGTGTATGGAATGGTGGTGAGGTGATTTTGTGTTTTATCGCGATCAAATCACTGCCACTATTTGATACTGCAACATATAATGGTTCGCCAGTTTTGCATACGGTCGATCCCTCTTCTGTTCGCCCTATCGCACTCCTAGACGCTCCACAGTCGCTGCGTGCGCCTGCTCAAAGGGGAGCGGCGGTGATTCTGGTATACCATACGCTACCCTCCCACTGGTTCGCCTCGCCAGCCTCCATGGGCTTCGTCCAGTTGCCGCGCGAGAAGATTGTGAAGTGGCTTGCAGTGTACAAAAGGTTATGTTGTATAGTTGGTGGAATTATTACAATCAAAACAACATTTTAGTTTGCTAATATGAATTAGCTTGCAGTTTCGCTAGCAGTTGCTTCCTACACTCCGGCTGCATGCTCCTGTTCAAGCGTGCGCTACGCGTCCGCTCACTCAAACTACATATTTCAAGTCCGGGTGAAGCAGTCCAGTGTAGGACTCAATGAGTTGCCGTTCTCCTCCCCTCTCTTCCCCCCCCCAAACCTATTCCCCACGACTTCAACGTCAAGCCGTCACGCAAGCAGCTTGTGAGCTTGTGCTCGGGTGTACTAAATAGTTGTGTTGTAATAGTTGAAAAGTATTATCACAACTAAAAGAACATTTTCGCTGTTACAGTAATGTGGTTTAGTTCGCAGCTTAGTCGTAGCTTCTTTCCTCCTCTTGAGGCGCTGCTATTCAGCGTCTCCACTCACCGTACCCGTTCACGATCGCTTCCTCAAGCGCCTCACGTGCATGTTCCCAGGCCCGGCTGAGCACGTGGAGGGAAGCAGGGGGGGTATCCAGTCCCCGCTCCCATCCTGCCTCGCACGGCCATACGTCCAGCTAGCACGCGAACAACTTGTGCAATGGCTGGAAGTGTACTAAAAATGGCTCTCTTATATGCATGAGGGAATAGCAATCGAAACAACATCCCTAGGGCGTTTCATGATCATGCATTAATGCTTATTTTTTTCTAGCGGTTGTTTCTATCTATTGTTGTTGCTGCATGTTAACGCCGGAGCGTGCGCTACGCGCCCCTCACCGAACCGCTTCACGCTACACCCTCCCTCTGGCTTCCTTCCCTTGCACATGCTCAGGTCTGGCTGAGCACGTGCAGGGGAGGGAAGCAGATGGGAGGGTCACTCGTGGCCCCGCCCCTCGACTCCAGCCCCACCCATGCCGCAGCACGAGCACACGTCAAGCTGCCACGGCAGCAGCTCGTGCAATAGCTCGATGTAACGAGTGGTTGTCTTATATAGAGGAGGGTCCTTATCATAAATCAACACGATTGGGTTGATATATCTGCACCTAACTATTTTCGGTTTGCTTAGCGGTCGTTCTTCCTTCAAACCAATTCGAACGCCATGAAGCATTTTGCGGACTCAGACATACATACATACATACATACATAAAAATACATAGCGACAAACTGACACACAGAGTTAGTGGTTTATAGAAATAGAAGATTCCTTGCAAAGAGAAAATTTAGAAGTAAATCATAGTTAAATTGAAGCAGCGCCAGATATCATCGCAATACTATGGTTTTGTGCAGTAGTTGATGTCAGAGGTGACTCCACATCCAGGATGTACCAGAGGAGAACTCGATGTTCCATTCACAGCCGCCTCGATTCACCAGGGTCAGTTTTGATAAAATGTGCAATCGCACGAAACGATCGATCGTGACGAGGCGATGGTCGTAATTTGAGTGGCCCAAACAGTTGCTTCCTGCCACGATAAACATCAGAGTAAGTAAAGATAAGCAAGGTTGCCAAATACATCGGATGGTGATTTGACCATAGATGTCAATTTTGAAGCAGAGATTGCAAATTGGAAGCTAAAAAGGGACGAAAATGTACCATTTTCTGAAAAGAGAAAAAAACGAGAGTTTGTCAACCAACCAGTGACGTTGAAGCTTGTATAAGCTAAGCAAAAATGTATTATGGCATTAGTGTTACTACTTCATACAAAAGATGCTCGACAATGCCGAACCAGTTATCTAAGGGGCTCAGGGGCATTCATTTCCTTTACTCATTAATACACATGTAGTGAGGGCCGCAATTGTAGTTTACCATGATTTACTATTAGGGCATATTGAACTATCTGCCTCAGTGATAAGGCTCAGGGTGACAATCAGAATACTTCGTTGCTCCATTCGGAGAATTCATACTATACTAGCAAAATTTCGGTGTAACAATGAGCAAAAACATAGTCCCGGAAAGCACGGAATAGCCCCAGAGTATTTCGATCGATCTGATAGGAGTTCGGAGAGTGTGGCAAGCAAAATCTTATCTTGCTAACGTACATCCTCAACTTTCAGAATTCTGGAAATATCAGATTTCGTGGCAGATTGACTCGTTTCGAATTAGCTAAAGGAAAGCGTATCACGGGTACATGCCAACCACCTGGCGCTCGAAAAAGAAGAAAAAGAAATGACACAGCATTAAAACATTCGCTCTAATTTCTTGTAATGGATTGTGATTCGCACACTCAATGACCCTCCTTAACGGTCGAAATCCAGTATTTGCTGGCTGCGACACTTTTAATCTCTCTTCTTAAAATCTGACTGGGAGAATGACAATGCACTCAAGGAGTCGAATCCAATTCAAAGAAGCCCTTGAGTGCTGCCGAAACTCAATAATGGGTTAAGTTTTAGCTCGCGGAATCCGTCTTGGACCACTGATTTTATCTTCTAAAACTAAGATTGAAGATTTTGACATTCCTCCTCCTCTCGAGAACTCTGATCATAATATTGTAAAGTTCGAAATTGATTATATCAAAGAAGAGAGTACTTTCCTTCCTGAACCTGTGCTTAGCCGGGTTGATTATCGGAAGCTTAGTTACTGTCTTAACATACTAGATTGGAATCTGATATTCAACAAATACACCTCAGTTACAGATCTTTACTACAAATTTTGTTTAGTTCTTTATGACTTCTTCCCTAGTTTTGTGCCTTTCCGCTATACTAAGGGAAAATATCATCGATACCCCACCCATATCAGAAATTTAGTTGATCAGAAAGTCCGCTTGTTTCGAGAGTTAAAGAATTCTTTGAGCAATGCGCTTACAAGAAAGTCTGCTCTAACATCAGTTTTCACCTCAAAAAATACATTGCCTATTGCGAGCGTAAGTTGTTGAATCGTAAAGACTCCTCTTTTTTCAAATACCTGAAAGGAAAGCTCAACGCCGCAACCAAACCCATATGTATTGTGAACGATGAGAATCAGACCCTCAACTCTGATCGAGAAATGGCCACAGCTCTGGGGCATCACTCGCAAGTGTGTTTACCCAACCCGTCCAACATTTAGACCAGCCACACAGCCACATACGGATCTAAGCGAGTTTAATGTGTTCCCGGAATTCCTCATACAACCCCACGAAGTGTGAGGAGTTATGAAAAAACTGGAAGTCTCCTCCTCCGTTACCTATGTGTTATTTTGCTCTTCACTATCCTGTAATATTCATCCTCAGCGCCTCTCTAGCATTCGGTGAAGTGCCCAGTATTTGGAAAGATGCTCGTGTAACCCCAATACCAAAAGTTCCCTCTGCTACCAGTTCAGGCCTACAAGTATTTGCCCCGTTATGGGAAAAAATCATGGAAAAGATCAGCTGTAAAAAAAACTGACTGAATGGCTCGTCAAAATGGGGGTCATACCATCACGCTTTTCTGCCTGGAGCATCAACTGTGACTCTCTTGCCTGATTCAATGTACGACTGGTTGACGGGCCCCAACAGTGGCAAGTCGATTGATATAATATATTTTGACTTAACAAAAGCATTCGACTAGGTTTGCCACGATAAATTAATCAACAGGCTGAACTTGATCGGGATTCAAGGGAGACTACTAGAATGGCTAAAATCGTATCTGAGGGACAGGTATATGACGGTTAGGGTTGGCAATCAGTATTCTGATCGCGATTTATGTTCGAATAGTGTGCCACAAGGAGGAGCATTCACCATTACTGTTCTTGATTTACACATTAGACCTGCCAAAAAGTCTCAAGGTTCATCCCTGTATTGAGGTTAAAATGTTTGCTGATGATATCAGAATCTATTGTGTTTACGACAGTCATGAGCAACCACAAAGACATAAACTGCTAAGCCTATCCACCGAGAAGATGGTGAATTGGTTCCACTGACTGGGAACTCCCCCTCAATTTGGAGAAACTGTACATCTCCATCTGGGACCCTGCCCACCCATCCCGTATCGAGTTGATGGAACATTTATAAAGTTAGAATGCACTGTCAAGGACCTGGGGATTCTTTTTGATGTACGGCTGGGAATTGATGAGCACATTGAGATGGTCGCGAAAAAGGCCATCAGGTGTCTTTTCCTGGCATTAAGGAATGTGCAATGTAATGACCCCAGTCTCCTTGTCAGGCTATACAACATTTACATCCGACCTAATCTAGAGTATGGATTCATTGTGTGGAGTCCCTGGATGAAAAAAACACGAGAACAGGTTGGTAGGAGTTCAAAAAACGTTTACAAGACTCGCGTCCTACAGGTGTTTTCCTAATTCGGAATACCCCCAGGCACTTCCAGTCTACCAAGATCGCCTGAGAGCGCTAAGTATGCTTGTATTCGCTTTTCGCATTTTATAAAAGTGGCAGCCAGCAAATACTGGATTTTCCGACCGTAAAGGAGGGTTGAGTGTGGAATCACAATCCATTACAAGAAATTAGAGCGAATCGTTTCAATGCTGTGTTTCATTCTTTCTTTTTCCGAGCGGCCAGGTGGTTGCGCATGCTACCCCGTGATACGCTTTCCTTTAGTAATTCGAAAGAGTTCAAAACGAAATCTGATATTTCCAGAATTCTGAAAGTTGAGGATGTACGGTAGCAAGATAAATAGTTGTGATTTTGTTTTGCCACACTCTCCAAACTCCTATCAGTCGATCTGAAATACTCTGGGACCTACTTCTGTGTCTCCGGGACTATGTTCTGCTCATTGTTAACACCGAAATTTTGCTAGTAAGGTATGAATTCTCCGAATGGGAGGCAACGAAGTATTCTGATTGTCGCCCTGAGCTTATCACTTGAGGAGATAGTTCAATAATGGTCCTAATAGTAAATCATGGTAAACTACAATGGGCCCCTCACTACATGTGTATTAATGAGTAAAGGAAATGAATGCCCCTGAACCCCTTAGATAACTGGTTCGGCATTGTCGAGCATCTTTTGTATGAAGTAGTAACACAATGCCATAATACATTTTTGCTTAGCTTATACAAGCTTCAACGTCACTGTGGTGACAAACTCTCGTTTTTTTCTCTTTTCAGAAAATGGTACATTTCGTCCCTTTTTAGCTCCAATTTGCAATCTCTGCTTTAAAATTGACATCTATAGTCAAATCACATCCGATGTCACATATGGCAACCTTGCTTATTCTTTACTTACTCTGATGTTATCGTGGCCAGGAAGCAACTGTTTGGGCCACTCAAATTACGACCATCGCCTCGTCACTATCCGATCGTTTCGTGCGGTTGCACATTTTATCAAAACTGACCCTGGTGAATCGAGGTGTGAATGGAACATCGAGTTCTCCTCTGGGTACATCCTGGATGTGGAGCCACCTCTGACATCAACTACTGCACAAAACCCATAGTATTGCATGATATCTGGCGTGCTTCAATTTAACTATGATTTACTTCTAAATTTTTCTCTTTGCAAGGTAATTAAATAATAAATGAAATATTTGATAATTACTTAAGTATGGCATCCAGTGTATTCCAATCAGTTTCACCTCAGAGCAGAATCGAAGTCAGTCAATGGTATTATCCTGAGTTGCCTTCCTTCTATTGTAACATTGTGATTACCAGTAAACGATGATGGTGATAAAGGGGATTAGGGCCCTGTCTCCAGGATTCGTGTTTGTTATCGGATGCCAGGTTCATGATTGCGTTAATGCGCTGAGCCAATCTGCAGTTTCCACCATGGTTCATTTATTCTACTGCTCTCACAGGTTACTGAATTTTCGTGTGAGGGTTATGGAGATTTTTGGTACTAACCCCGAGAGAAGAATGGACAAAAGGATAGATTTCAACGTTACATAGGGATAACGGTCACAATTCTACCATATATAATCGACCATGTCCGTGCATAGTCGTCTGTCTCTTTGACACGAAATCCATAGCGCCGGTCCCAGTAGCAGCGAGATATTGGTTCCAAGAAGTGACGAAGAGGGTGTGACGGGAACACTATTGGTGAGTGATAGGAAGTGAAGTTGATATCAGTTGATAATATCTGATGAGGGGCCTCAGAATGGAACTCTCGCCCTATTCTTAATGCGGGTCACAGCATCAGCCAGGTTTTGATTCCAACATATGATTCAGTTTATGGGACAGGAACATTATTAGTGGATGACAAGAATTATCAGCTGCTGATAAGATTGACGTTAGAAGGATCTGAGTCCATCAAGCGTCGCAGCAATAGTAGGAGGTTGGTTCCAAGATACGATGTAGGGTTCAGGAAAGGAACACTAGGTTGGTGACTAAAAACTGCCAGCATCTGATAAGATTGGAGGGGCGTCAGGCTCTCCAATCCGGCTCAGGTGTATGTTGCACGATCCTCTGGACAGATTCAACTTTACCCATTACTCGAGCCATTTTCAATTATTTTTCCACATTTTGCTGGAAAATGCACTGTGACGGTTAGGCGTACCTTGCACACTCTACCTCGCCTAAGGAAAGAGTGCCTGGCGAAGCCGGGCCATGACAAAGAAGGAGAAGCACCCGGCGGCAGCCGGGTGATCCGACTGATATATATACAGGGGGGGGGGAGCAAAAAAGTCACTTTGGCTCATTGACTTTCGAGGGGCTATAAGTTACACTTTATCAAATTCTGATCGGACATTTTTACTACCATATTGAAGAGCATATTAAGTACTATCACAACACTCCGCCACAACCCTCTGGACGAACGCCATCGAGAGATTCTGGCACGCGACCGCGATGTGGTACCTGAGATCAGCGGGGTAGTCGATTTCTCCGCCACCGTAGACCACCCTATCGAACTCCGCCTGAACTAGGTAATTGAGTGGGTTCAGGTCAGGAGACATACTTCAATATTACATCTTCTTCAGGTACGAAACGCCCTTCCAGTCGAAGTGGGCGGAAATTTTTCCAAAACCCTTCAGACTCCATGCGGTGGCCCCAAACCCTGAGAGCAGCACAAGTGTCTCCAAGAAGGTACGGGCGACCACATGTAGGGAGGATATTCTTTCTTGAGTTACTTTGATGTAACCGCCAGCGCTCACCTCAGTCCGGGTCTACAAAGAAAATATCGGTCGTCCCATTCCAGGTGCCCCGGTCCACCCTCATCTTCGCGCCTCGCGACTACGGTGAAGTGATGTCCAAGATCTGTAGCGAAGTTGACGGAAGCTGCTCGAAGTTGGGGTCATCCAGACTGCAGAGTACTGGTCCAGGTAGCTTCCCATGGGTGACTCGATACTAGAAGTTTCGCAGCGATTTGGAGGTGACATGAGTTCCGAAGGTCCTTCTCCCAGTCAGTTGCGACTGAGATGACTTCATACTTTGGTGTAGCATGAAGTGGGCGTGAGCCACCCTCATCCTGCTCCTGTTTATAGAGGAACATCTTGGTATCCTCCGCCCTGGTACTCGTATCCACGTCCTCTGTCTGGGCTGCAAAAACTTTGCTGATATGTGACTTGGTCAAAGTGACTTTTTTTGGCCATATATATATATATATATATATATATATGTATATATATATAGTATATATATATATATATATATATATATATATATTATATATATATATATAAATATATATATATAAATATATATATACTATATATAAATAGTATATATATATATATATATATTATATAATATATATAATATATATATATATATAGTATTATATATTATATATATATATTATATATGCGTCAGTACCAATCTTAAGGGGCTACAAAGTCGCAGGATACCTATCAACTGATAAATACAATGTACTTTGAAAGCTGATTTTGTTCTTCCAACTGACTCCTATAGGTCACTTTAGCGAAGCGGGACTGCTAACGATAGACAGCGATTGTCTGCAATAAAAGGCGGTACGGACCATCAACGGACATTCCTATCAATCACAGACAGGTTTTATTTTTTATGGCTGTACTGGTTGTCTCACCGCACTCACACTATCTTGGTTATAATAGCAACTGTCAACTCACAGCTCGAGAATTTTCATTTAACGACTTTTATGCTCTCTTCAAGCTGTCTTCCAAGTAGTCTGTTGTAGATGTTCAACATGCTGAATCAAAATAAACTGAAATGTTCAGGAAGATAATGGGCCAGGCAACAATGGTGGTAAATGTCACGGAGCACAAAACCAGTTTTCACGTTTCGGAAAACTGGCTTTACTCTATCCCCATAATTATCGGTGTTCAGTAGCGGTAATCTCATTGGGTTCAACAGTATCCGAATGAAACGATGCACAATTTGACCGAGTTTGAAGGCCCACTTCCCGGATAAAGCTCGTGAATGGGGACATGTTCCAGAACGAAAGAGTACGTGGTAATTAAAGAAGAAAATAGAAGTGCCGGCAAAGTCTAAATGATACACCTCTTCGCTTGAAGCATTTTGTTTTACGAGCATACGAACAGATTGAGGTGAGGCACCGCTGAGCGTGTACAAGAAAAACAGACGAGAATTCGGCGAGAGTACACAGATGAGCGGTGCCGCATCGCGATGCAACTATTGTGAAACGAAACGAGAAGTGCGGAAGCTGATCTCACTGTATCTAGCTCAAAGAGAATCGTTACTGGGGCGGAATCAGTAGGTAGTGCAAACCGCGGCCGTTTTATAGTCCTACAGCGCTGCCGCATGGCCAGCCTGTAGAAAGCCAAGCGCGCTGACTGTTAACTGTCTGCAATGAGAACGTGTTTCGCTGTGGGACCTCGGTAGCGACGCGAGTTCTGTACTTTTAGGATAGCTCGGCCGGAGTATGTCGACGGCACCCGAATATTACTACCATGCAGCCCCGTTCTCGTAAATTTATCAAGCAGAAATGTAGCGCGCCACTGCAGCTGCGAACCCATTCACTTCGTATATGGCAAGCACCATCATACTTAGAAGTTCACAGCTTGTCTTTAAGAAAAAAAAATACAAACAAAAATACAAGAAAGCTTTTTGACAAGAAAAGGTAAGAGACAAATGGGGCACCCGACTAGCATCGGAAGATCAGAAAAGATTGTTGAGAATGTCGAGTGGTAAATTATTTGCAACTCACCCGTGTTCTTCTGTCATGCTTTATAAATCTAACAGTATTGTACACAATTTGGCGTCCATGTTCAGAGTCCGGATCAGCAACTACCCACAGTGTAAGTGGCTAAACAACGATGTTCAACAAGCATAACCTTGTTGGACATCCATCATGACCACTAGGAACAATCTACCATCGTTTCATTTTCATCTGTTTTCTTAATATACGTCATTTTGGTGGTTATGCACTGTATCTTTTCGGATCGCGTCAGTCCCATGAAGTCAGACAGTGAACTGCCTTTACAGTCTAAAACACTCCATCAAATAGCAAGCAACCTGAAGCATAGAAGAGTGCGAACCTGAAACGTCAGCAAAGTCGAGTACATTTTTTTTCGACAAGGTTTCGAGAATACGTTTGTTATAACGAGGAACAACATGCTTCTGCTCCATGACCCAGTCGCCCACGTTTGATCGATCATGAAGATCGCCTAATAATGGCACCAGCACAATCAGGAAGAAAGAGCGGACTACATAAGGAATGCAGAAAATTATGTGAACCTCGTATAACAGCTTTCTGGAGGTCTTGAGTGATATGCATCACTTCTAACATTAACGTCTCTTCAAACTTTTCACCAGTGACCTGCAACTACCGTAGGAAGTTTCAAAGGAAGAAATAAACAAATACAGCTGTTCTTCTCGGCCTCAGTTGCAGCTTACACCATCATCGTCAAGCAAGAATCCGTTGAGTAGTACTTTCGGCACGTCACCAATACCTGCTTGGTCCAGAAAGTCTCTACCAGTCTGAAAATGGAGTTGCAAGGGATGAAAAAAGTAGGCGCTATATTTTAAGAAATCGTACTGTTTTTCCTTTGTTATACGATGAATTTGACCCGAACACTTCTCGGTGGTCGATATAGCCATAATGCTTCTCAAACCACATTTTGATATGACTAGGGTCTATACTGTCGTAGGAGTGATAAGGCTCTAGCATCTGGAAAATGGTTTCGAATGAATTTTTATGACTATTTCTCAGGGAGGAACAGATGAGACTCTTGAGAAAGAAAGAGCCTTTTCATCTGCCAGTAGATCTTACCAATTCGTCAGAATAAAGAAAGGACAAATCGCTCCAACTCGATGAATCTCTATCTACAATGCGTCACGCACTTGGTTATATTCGAACTTGTAATAACAAATGAAGTGTATTCGTCCTACACAAGGATATTCACGGCAATATTGTCCTCCACATCGGGGAGATTACTTAACAACGAATTGAATTCACTAAGTTTGTTTGGTTTTCCATTTAACAAAGGAGTTATTGTAGCTTGATTCATAGCTAATCAATGAGTAGTTGAAGGATTAGTTATGAAAAGGCGTCAGAGGATTCATGGATGACGTACTACCAAATAGGAAATAGCCCAGATATGAAGTCAATGGGCTCGTCAATGCCTTTTGTACTTTTCCGACATCCCCTTCAACACGACGGTTCTCTTCATATCCACTAGCAATAATTTGGCTTTGCTCTTATTTCTGGTTTTGATTATAGTTCCGATTCGTTCTGTATTCAGTAGTCCTCCCCATTCCTGTTTATTTCCAGTCGGATCGCCCAGCTGTCGCCGGGAGCTCCTCCTTCTGTGACATGGCCCGGCTTCGCCGGGTGGGCGCGGATTTGCTGCGTGCTAAGTTACGGATCGTTGACCAACCACACTGTTCAAAGGAATGTTCTGCATCAGCCAAGAACTGAAAAGCAGCGCCCGTTTTTTTAAGACGCAGAAGCAGCAGCAGCGCCCGCCGCATAAGGAGGAGCGCGGGCGTTAGCGAGCGATCCCACTGGTACGTTCATAACCTGCATAGACCGGAATAGAGCAGCCTGTTAGATCAGCCGCTGAAGCAAGCATCGTACTAAATCGTGCATTCCCCCCCCCCTCCTAAAGCGTCTTGCTTCGGAATGCACTTCCGCATTCAGCAGTGGAACGCTTTGAATGGCCCTTACTGAGGTTGTTGATGGAAGATAGTTCTGATTAGAGTGATTGAGTCAAGTTGCTGCTGTTCATAACATCTCTGTAAACAAACCATACATTCGGAATAGAGCTAACTTGGCGGTCCTACATGATTCCGCTACTGATGAGCGGTGAGGAATGAGTTGTGTTGGAATCACTGAGACAGTTATACTTGAGTCATATCGATCGCATCGCTGCTGCGAGCGGTGTAGCGGATTTTCCCCCATGTTAACTTGCACTTTCAGCTCCTATAACATCCGTCACCCGCCAATAATATTCCCGTCCCATATCACTATCATATCACCCTGAATCACTTCTCGAAATCACGCTCCCACCGTTGCTGTAGCCTGCGTTACGTAGTTAGTGATCATCTTCTTCCGAGACCCCTTGTCGGATCTTATCAATTCTTATCACTTTCTGTCACCCGCCAGTAATGTTCCCGTCCCAAATCCTATATCACCTCTCGGACCCAAGGTCCCACTGTCGCTGTAACCTGCGTTATAAATTTGGTGAACCTACCCTTCCGAGACCCCTTATCTGATGTTATCAACTTATCACTTCCTGTCACCCGCCAATAATGTTCCCGTCCCATCCCCTATATCACTTCTTGAAACCGACGTGCCATGCTAGCTGCGACGCGAGCTATGAATTTCGTGACAGACAGACGGACGCACACACACACACTGACAGACATACTTAGTGAATTATATATAGTAGGATTTTAGAGCTCTAATCCATGAGACGTTTCTCTGTCAGTCAAAGAGTACATCGCCTAAACGAGTAGAAGTACCCGTTTATCAGTGAAGTGTACAAGCGGAGGGGAACTCGTAGTCTATCACAAGGCTTGACAGGCGATCACTAGTAATGACATCTCAAGAACATACTCTCTAATTAGCAGATCAACGGAGAAAGCGTTCTACAAAATATAGAAGGCTAACAGAATATGGAGTAAGGGCGAAGAGTGCAACGCCTGCCCAGAACGACTGCCTATCGTATCAAGGACGACCTGCCAGTTTGTCCTGTATTGTATGTTTTGATCAGGACACATAAGCTCCCAGTTCAGTCGGAATTGAAGCTTGCTAACCCGACAGCTTCAAGGTACGACTATAATCAAGCAAGCATTGGTAGACCAACGATAAGATCTCAATGGTTTCCAGAATCTTGGACAACTGCCCTCCAACAATATCGCCCGCCGCACTTGACAAATACGGTATGTACTGCATAAGTATTGTCCAATGTTGAACTCAGGCGAAGTCTGTTGTCACGGAGTCATTTGATGTGGACATCACTTTACACCAATTTTTCGAGATGAAGCTGGCTCTGGAGTACATTATGAACTTGCTGTGCGAGCACGAACGTACGCTCAACCTCTTTGGGTTTCACATATCCCGCAGGTCATGAAATCATGTGGAGAGTGTCTGAAGCTGTTCTATCTTCAATGCGTCAGCACATACTACAGGCAGCTGCAGAGGACTAGCTATGGGCCAGCGGCTCGCACCTTTTCTGGCATACACATTAATGTCCAGAATCGAGAAAACCCGTGTTTGATCACAGACCTCTTCTCTAACTGTCGCTATATTGATGACCTGTCTCATAATATGCCACACACAAGGTGAAATCTGATTAGTGTCTCGACCTTCTAATAAACAGTCTCATCATATAAAGTTTACAGAGAGAACATCCGTTAGATGAACTGGCTGCCCTTCTCAATATTCCAAATTACATTTGAGGGCGAACACGTGGAGAACAAATGGGTCCGCAAGCGAAGCCAATAAGAAATATTCTTGTTCACGTGCAATTCACACATGCGACAAGGACACAGAGCAAGCAGTCATTAACAATATTTTTACAACTGCCAGGCAGGGTGCTCCTCTGATTCCTGCATTAGAACAAGAATGTCGACTATGGCTGAACGATTACGGTATCTAACGGCTGTTCGGGAGTCGCGGACCATTTGCATTGCGCAGGAGATCTACCAGACCTCACAGACCGAATATCTTCCGAGAAAGTACCATTCTGTTTCCCGTTCATTTCGGAAGAAGTTAGCCGGGCGACCCGTTCGAGTCTGCACAGATGTGGCTTGCAAGAAGACGTTAGGGTGGTAGAAATACCTCCAAACAACTCAAAACGTCTCCTCGTACGTAATCGCCTCTATGACTATTCATGTGATACCAAGGAATGTGTGGTTCGCCCCTCCGGTAGAGCAGGTAATTGCATGAAGTCGGGATGATCTATTCAATACGCTTCCTCACATGTGATAGTGAATATGTAGAGGAAACAGGCTGTCTTGTGCGTACGTGTTAAAGAGCACTTGGATGGCTTGCGAAGACCACAGGTCCGGACGCCACTTGGTAGCCATGCTGTTGAGTATCATGGGGATGCCGAATTTCACGGTGACGGTGTCCATCCTAGCACAGGAGCCTGAAATCACTGCGCGGAAAACTTTGGAAGCGTTTTGGATTCCGGCGAAAGACCCCTAATGAACAGGCAAGAGGGATGTTTAGCCACAAACCGTGAACTCGCGTCCTTTGCCGACCTATGCGAATTTTGATCTACATGAGGTCGAGGTCGCGGGGTGGAGGTAGCAGCTCACTTATCAGTACTGCAGCTTGGGTGGTCGGTCTCACGTCATCGCGGCTGAGATCAAGGTAAGCCTACTCACCTTATCGATCGACACCGTTAGGTGGTTTACTAGGATCTCGAAATGGTCTTAAGTTTTGTTAAGGCGTTTGAGGGGACAGATCTCAGTTGTTCTTGGACTCTTTCAGGCTCTGACGAAGGCGAAGTAGCCGAAACGTTGGCCAATAAATTATAACAATCTTCAATGACAGCTCAATCTATACACCTGTTTGAAGAAACGTTTCTCGGTACTGTGATTCTAATTCCACCTTATCTGTTTCTTACGGCTGTCCTTGGTGAACTCTTACAATTTGCATTCTTTTTTCTCTTAGATATTCTTTCCACGTTCTCTTATGGAATTTCCTCCTTAGTTTTTGATTGAAACTTACCAGGAAGGGTCAACAGGTCAGTCCGGCCATTTGCTATGAGGTACACACCGGTGCACGCTTGAGACGATGAACTCAAATCTACCTTCAAAATTCGCAGAACGGCTTGTGCATGGAGCTGTGAATGTTTTTCTTACTGTTTCTTTCTTTAGGGATCACTGGTACCGTTGCGTTGGCACCAGTAGTGCGTGATACAACGACAATCGCGCAAAACGGGTGTGATACTCGTGTTCAGGGGTCAACTGACCCCTGAAGACGACTTTTCAGCGACGGCATGTAAAATTTCGAACTCAAGTTCAAAAATGCGATTGGGTAGGTCATTTCGAAACAGTGATAGTAAGTTAGCCTATTACCGATGACTGGTCTTTGAGCTGAATTAAGTCCTCAGTCGTGTCTTTCCGCTATAAACAATACCTGGCATTCGCATCATCTTCATCAGTTTCCTGACAACTAGGGGGAAATTCCATCCTAAAACCAGTCATCGATGGGATGTGAGCTCCAGTCTGCTGCTACTCACTACACGGAATAGTCCCTGAAATCAACAGCGGCCGTGATTTGCATGGGAAGCTGCTCAGAATCCCTTGATGAACAAAAGCTTTAAGAGCAGTATTGGACCATGGAAAAAGACGAAGCAGAAGTATCTGCCTTTGTGGGAAAAAGGTGCATTCGACCGTCGGCAAAGCAGTGTGGCAGAATTTCTTAGACAGATTTGTAAGAACACCAGACGAGTACTGTGCTCAAATACCATGGAAAAGACCTGAAGTCCCATTGCCCGGCAATACAGCGATCGCTAGGAGGCAACTCATAAGCGTCGAGAATCAATCTCAAAAAAAAATGAGCAGCATCTGGAAAGGTGCCATATATACTCCAGCGTCGTCGAGCAAGTAGATGAGCACGAACTGGAAGGAGGGAAAATTTATTACTTTTTACATCAAGCCATCCTATCTCCTCAGAAAGCTATCACAAAAAAATAAACGTGCGTTCGATTC